GAAGCAGACTCCCTGCCAGGCAGGGAGCCCGATGCGGGACTCGATCCAGGGACTCCAGGATCATGACCTGAGCCGAAGACAGTCGCCCAATCAACTGAGCCACCCAGGCGCCCCGCAGTGGACACTTTAAATACCAAATATATCAGAACAGAGGGCCCTAGCTCAGACGAGCCCCCACCATCCTCCGCAAGGGGCTGACATCTAGAGATGATTTTCTAGAGACTGTAGAGCCTTGGAGCAATGCCGGTGTGTATTTTTAAAGGAGGTAAGCATCCCAGAACATGCCGTTCTTTATAGGGTATCTTCAATAGTCAGCACCTCTGACCGGACTTGTGCATTTTTTTCGTCCTCAGTCTCTTCCTGCCTGGGATTAGAGTGGGTTCGAAAGGCAATTTTTTTCCGTTGGAAGATCTCTTTCAAGAATGTATGAATTGCCAGTGGAACATTAAAAATTTTCATACTTAATGACTTCATAATCCTTCTTTGGTTAATCTGAAATGCAAGCGAAGAATAATGGGAAAAGAATATTTTTCACAAGAATAATAGCAATAAATTGGAATCGTTGAAACGTCCAATAAAGTCTGGTGCATCCGTGTGATGGGCTCTCATTTTGCAGCTAGTGGAGCAGTTCAATAACGTGAAGGGAAACAGAGAGGTACGAAACTAGTACAAGCCTGATTCTAACTATAAAACCGTAGGTGGTAGGGATAGGACTTCTTTCTCTTAGTGATAGGATTATAGGTGATTTTTGTTTTCTTTCTGGTTTTCAGCACTTTTTAAACTATTTCCATATATTACTTGCACAATTTAAAAAGTCCAATGAAAAAAACGAGCACGTGGCTCCAACCCTCTGCGTTTCCCCCGCATGCTCCATGGTGGTAGGTGGCATGAGGACCTGGCTCGCCATTATGTCTTTAGTCCTATGCCAACAATAGAGAGTCGAATATTCCCATTGCTCTAGTTCTCTTTCCTTTTTCTTTCCAGGTGATGTGCTCTATGAACTCCTTCAGCATATTCTGAAGCAGAGAAAACCTCGGATTCTTTTTTCACCGTTCTTCCATCCCGGAAACTCTATACACACACAGCCAGAAGTCATCCTGCATCAGAACCATGAAGAAGGTACCAGAGGAGGCTTTTCTTTCCTTGCGTGAGGTTTAGACAATCCAAGAGGTGTCATTGTTTATTTGATAAGTTGTTCTTATTCACGTGATTTGTTTGTCATTGAACAAACATGTATTGAGTGCTTGCTTTATAGAAGACACTGAGGGAGATGCCAAGATGAATGAGATATACTCTTGGTTCTCTGCAATCTGATAGAGAAATGAGGTACATGGATGAGTATCAAAGCATAGCTGTAAGTCAGTGGGGGGGGTGGAATTACATCTAGGCACAAGCATCAGGGTCAGCCTCGTGAAGCAGGTGGTTCTGGAGGCTTCCTTGATGGTCCAGCAGAATTCTGGTAAGCAACGATGAAGTGGGGAATCCTCCAGGCAGAGAGAATAGGATGGAGTGAGTCCCTGGAGTAAGAGAGCCATCAGATGACTTGGGTTATAAGGCTTATCGTTTTTTCCCCCCTCTACCTTTTGTTCTGGAAAATGTCAAACAATAGAGATTTCTTCCAAATAGAGAGAATGAAGTAAGTAAACCCCCGTGAGCCATCACCCCGTTTCAACAACAATCAACATTTTGCTTTTGCAGAGCTAGTGCCAGGCAGTCATATTGGACCCAGAATGGAGAGGGCTTTGATGAAGGAGAGTAATGGGGGTCTTTGAAAATTTGTGAGTAGAGGGTAATAAAAGCTGGGGGAACAAGACGGACTCAAACCCTGTGAACCCTGGTGGACCAGGGGTTCCTCCTTCGTGCACCAAAGGCGGCTGCTTGCAGTGTGCTCAACATAAGTGCCTACTCAGATGCACCTGCTAAGCCCCAGGCTGCTCTTCTCTGGTAAGCCCCAGCAGTCCTAAAATCATTGGTAGGAAACAGAAACAAAAGACCGGAATTGAACTGTGGTGCTGGACATCGTTCCAAAGCAGGTGTTTGGGTGCAGACCTAGGTTATTAAAGTCTTACTTGATGTGTGATTCCATTGAGCAGCAATGCATCGTACCTCTGAGGAGCGTGATGTCCATGTGTGCGTGGATCGGTTAGACAAAGGACATGGGGACACAAAGTAATGCTTTTCAACTTGCCCTTTTTCTTAGGACTGGATTACTTGGGGCCTCCAATCCCGGTTCCTTGGGATATTTCCTTAAATCGATTGAGCCTTCTTAAGAGCAGGGCTCATATTTTGTTGTTGTTGTTTTGTTTTGTTGGTAAATTAAAAAATGAGAAGTTATTTGTTTTCTTAATTAACATTTCACAAAAGAGAGCCTGACTCCAGGCGACTGCCATCCCTTCCTCGTGCCAAGTGTCTCACAGCAGGCTCCCTTGCTTTCGTGATGGGGAATAAACGAGCGGCTCTTGCCTGCTCCCTGCCTGTTTCTCTCATCCTTTCTTCCCCCAGCTTTACCCTTGCTTAATTTAGCAGCTGCCCCCCCCCCGCCCAATTCGGTCTCTCTGTTCTTTTGCTTTTCCTGCCATGTACATTTCCGGCTTGCATAATAGCCAACAGCTATTCCAGAAAAGAGGTGGGTTTACTGAAGCTCGACATAGGCAAGAATCGTATTACCTAGCTTGCCTCTTCGGATACAAAAGGTGTGTGATGGGCTCCCGCCCCCCATCTCTCTCTCCTGTACTCATTATTTAAAAAAAAAAAAAAAAAATCCCATTTGGAATTCGTATTCCTCTTTTTATTTCCAAATGTGTTGGGAAGCTTCTGGTCTCTCACTGCAAATCCTTCCACCTTGAATTGACTCAGAAGTAGGTGTTTGTTGTTCTTCTCATTTGCAGGAGCTAATCAATAGAGAAAGCCGGGCTTGCTCTCAGAGCTGCTCTCAGACCAAGTAAATACAGATGTGCTGCTCCATATGCCGTAATGAGCTGTGCTCTCGGGTGTTATGTTGGTGGTGGTGATTCCATAGGTTAAAGGATGGAGCTAATGAGACCAAGGTCAAGGGCTTCATCACCCTGTGGACCAGTGCGCTCTGCTTCAGAGCCAGCTCTTAAAAGGAGTGTGTTCTCAGAGACCATTCCTTAAAGCCGTCAGCCAGGAATCAAGACTGGAGGGTCCATGCCTGTTTAGACACGGCGCATTCTCTCAGGTGAACAGATGGGCATGCGAGAAGGGAAGTTTAGGTCTTTGTCAGATGGTATCAGCTGAGAAGAGCTGTATAGTGATATGCACAGGCTGCCTGCCCCCCAACTGCCATTGGTGACAGGGGGACCCTCCAGAGAGGGGAGTCAACCAGTACAAGGTCCCTACCCCCAAACACCTCCTACCTTGTTCCCTTTTCTCCACCAAAAAGAAAAAATACCCAGCTCACCATGATTGGTCTCTAGAATTAATGCCGCTACACTTCCTTGTGAGTGGTAAAACACTAATATGGACATCAGTTAATGTACAGAAAGATCTCCCCCCCTCAAAAAAAAAACCAATTCTGTAAAGTGAGATTATACATATCAAATATTCTATCCCCTGTGGTCTGGTCCACATCCCTGGGGGCACAGTCCTTTGTAAAAGTGTGTTGCCATTGATGGCATTGACCTGACACAGAGATAATGTGACAGGGAAGAGAGCAGGAACATTCCAGAGAATGGACGCGGCCCCTCAACAGCCTGGCACAGTGAGGCGTGCAGAGTGAAGTGCAAAGACAAAGCTTCGTTTACCCCCTCCCTGCGACTGCAGATGTGTGGCCGTGCCCGGAGCTAGGAAGTTGGTGTTACAGCTCAGAGGCTCCCCTCCAGGCCCTGAGGGGAGAGGTGGGCGATCCCACGAATTCCAGTTACCCTTTTTTTTGTAAACATTCATCATCTCCATATTGTACACAATTCTGAAATTGTGTCATGCCTGGGGCAAAGCAGTCCTCCGCTGACTGCCCAGGTCTAGGAGAACCAGCATGGCCACCCTCTTTCCTTATTTACTTATGAGAGCGCAGTATTCTACAGTGAAGGCAGCCTTGTGTAATCTCTCCCCCATCCCGAGCCACTGTGACAAGGAAACAGGACTCCTCCAGCAGGTACACCAGTTATGTAAGAATGAGACAAAACAAAAAAATGATACTATTTCTTTCACCAAAACCAGGAGGTAAAACATCTTTAGAAATTTCGGATCAGCAAATGATGATAAAATAAATGCGTTTTGTCACACACAGTTATAATATCAACCTCTTTTGACATCTTGGGTTCTAAAATCAGTTACTTCTAACTCCTATGGAATAATTACAAGAAAGGCTTTGTCCCTAAGTATATATTCGATCACCCGTAGCCGTACTGGTGGTAAAATTACTTGCATAGTAATTCCCAAAAAGCTTATTGAGCGGTATAAAATATGCTTCCAGTTGAGCTAGTCTCCAAATGGGGCCAGCTCCACAGAGTTACCCCTGTCGGACTGGCCAGGCCCAAGTCTGTAGAGAGAAGGAACGAGAGTTGTGTTTATCATATGCTCTCACCCCATGACCCCTGTGGGGGACCCTCTTACAGTTTCAACTCTCTAGTTCCACCCTCTCCTATGTTCTATCTAAGAGAGTGGGAGATGATTTTTAATCACTTTAATTTGAAAATATTCACACATGCAGTGTTGTGATTATTTCTGCAACAGTGGACACACTTGGAAGACACAGGGGTTGCTCTGGGGCAGGTAGCTCTTTTTATTAGGTGGACGTGGAAATCATAAGTAATAGAACTTTCAAGTGTCGAAGCAGTTGACCTCAGTTCTTCCCTACAACCAGTACATGGTAATGGCCCGGAGAATAGAGAGAAGTCATTTCTTTGTGGGGAATAGGGAAGGTGCCATGCATTCTGCAATAGCCCAGAGATTTTCATTTATATGATTGCTTTATTGAGGGAAATATTTCCCCTCCACCCCCAGTCCCCTCTACTGCCAAATCCAAGTGCCCAAAGACTGCTTTGGAGGAAGGAAACTTTACACAATTTTAATGAGATAATTAAAGAAGATGAGGTATATGAATCTGCTTCATAGGAACAAAATATTAGCTAACTTTTATTGTGTGCCAGGCCCTGTTCTAAGCTCTTACGTGTCCAAATCATTTCATCTTTACAATTACCGTATAAGGAAGGTAATGGTATCCCCACTTTACAAATGAGGAGATAGAAGCTGAGAGCCTCCAGATCACATAGCTACCAAGTAGCAAAACTGAGACTTAGCCCTGGGTCCACTTAGCCCTCATGCCTGTGTTCCTTCCATTGCAGCATGAATGAGCCAACCAAAATAACATTTTTGTTCATGTGTTTTGTGCAAACACCCTGAAAACGGGACAGAAGATGGAGCAATGAGTAGAACTGGGGAGATTAGGAGGCCAAGCCAGGTCCCCTGACCAGGGTACGGTGTGGCAGATGCCAGCAAACCTGCTTATAATTTTTCTGCCTCGTGGCACTTGAAACTGCCAAATCTAAACAAACAAACAAAAAGGTCAAGGATAACTTTTTTTTTTAATTTTACTTGCTTGAGAGTGAGAGCTCGTGCAGGGGAGGAGCAGAGGGAGAGGGAGAGAGAGAATCTCAAGCAGACTCTGCACTGAGCGTGGAGCCCAACACAGTGCTCGATCTCCCGACCCCAAGATCATGATCTGAGCCAAAACAAGAGTCAGACACTTAACCAAATGAGCCACCCAGGTGCCCCATCAAAGATAACTTTGGAGACACCACTATATGTCTGCAGGTCATGCTGTCAAAAACTCATGCTGATTCAGACTGAATTAACCCACTGTAAATCTTTGACTACCTCTGAATGAATGGACTTAGCATGAAGAAAATCCCCCAGCCCGTGAGAAATGTGAGTTCAGAGTCTGGCACTGGCTTCTGAGCCTGGCTGTCATCCCCCTTGGGAACCAGCCCCTTGGTGCTGGTCACTCCTTGGGAGCTGGTTCCTCAGTATAGCTGCTGACAAGACACCAGAGTAGATGAAGTTTGTAGCTGATCCAGCCATCCTGTTACAGGTTGTTGTAAAAACTTCTCTGAGATTATGTTGACAATTGAAGTGTCAAGGAGGGGCGCCTGGGTGGC